CCTGCAGGGCTTTGGACTACATCCTAGGCACATCATTCTTACGAGCATACACCAAAACATGGGCATGTAGTCTTTGCTCATGCAGTCAAAAAAGAAAGCTGCTTTCAGCATGTCTGCGCAACTGTGAAAGAATTTTCCGGAGGGACAGGACTCTTGAAAGGACTGTGTGTGGTTTTAGTAAAAATTACAATGTGTGCAGATATTCTGGCATTAGAGAGTATGTGTAAGCAGTCACCACCTTTTGAAATTTGCATTTTAAACGCTAAGCAGACAATACTTCTCAAAAACAAACAAAGATTGTAAGAATGCGGAAGTGCCTTCTAAAAGCAGAATGGGCTTCAGAAGAGGAATCTTGCTATACAGGCCAAAGATGATCGGCAACTTTTGTGGTTACCTTTTTCTCTCTTCTGACAATTTTTGGGTGGGGATGTAAGCAGATTCTGTCATTCATCCTTGTTGTTCTTTTGAGATATGGAATGAAGACTTCTGTCCTGAAAATCAGAACTTCATTTTGGTAGGGATGATTGAAGCCAAATGGGCTTTGAAAGTCTCTTTGGAAAAGGATTCAAAACATTGAAGTAGAAAAATATGTCTCAGTTTAGCTGCTGTGCATTATCTTTTTGGTAGCATACAGAACACTAACTTAATATAGTGTCAAGCAGTTTCCAGTACACCTAGGTTGATATCAGTCTAAGCTGCTGTAAACGTTTGGCATAGGAAGATGTATAAGTAGGTGTGTAATCAGCATAACACGAACAAAAAAGGGGGGGAAGGGAAAAAAGGGGGGGAGAGAAAGAAAACTCAACCCAAAAAGCTGCTATGAATCCACAAGGGTTAAGCTGACACTCAATATTATAAACACAAAATTTATTCAGGTGTACACATTTAAAAAATTTTTTGACTCATTAAAAATATTCACATTCAGACACAAAAAATTTCTCAACGTTCATACATAGATGGGTTAGTGCTGTGCAACTGAACCAAACGCGTTTCGGCCCCAAAGGGCCTTCCTCAGTGGTCACAATCCAAAATACAAACTTGACATACATTCAAAAAAAGGTTTTTTTAACATCAGATGTTAAGTACATATGCAATATAAGGCCAGATGTTGTATCCTTATATATTATTAGTACAGGATGGAGTGACATACATTCAACTCTCGAAATTCTATGCTACCAGAAGTATTGGTGGACTTTAATTGGCTATACCTGAGGCCTATCATATACAACAATAATATACAAATTAATATATAAGGATACAACATCTGGCCTTATATTGCATATGTACTTAACATCTGATGTTAAAAAAAAAACTTTTTTTGAATGTATGTCAAGTTTGTATTTTGGATTGTGACCACTGAGGAAGGCCCTTTGGGGCCGAAACGCGTTTGGTTCAGTTGCACAGCACTAACCCATCTATGTATGAATGTTGAGAAATTTTTTATGTCTGAATGTGAATATTTTTAATGAGTCTAAGTTTTTTAAAAATGTGTACACCTGAATAAATTTTGTACGTGTAATCAGCATAGCCTGATTCAAAGACCTTTTTAATGCCCCTTTGAGCTTTTGTTAAATGCAACTATGGCCTTGGTATCAATTGGTCTGCTATTATGTATAGAAGTCCAGGGGTCTGTCTAACTCCTTGCTGTGTATAATAGCTGTAGGTTGTTTCATTGTTGATGTTCAGAGGTTTTTCCCATTAAGAAGACTGTAGTCTATTGCTGAGCACACTAGACCCCCTTAGTACTGTTTTGGTACTTGAAAAGATTGCCGAGTCCCTCCCCCAATCAAGCCCTCACAGCATTTTTAAAATGGTTACATTCTTCTCTAAAATGACAACGGGGGGGGGGGGTTTGGGGGCAAACCCATGGCCACAGTAATGTCTAGCTTAGCTAGCCTGAGGGCAAAACCGCAGGAGGAAAACAGAACATGGAGAAAAAAGTAGAGTCTGGGCTGTAGGTCAGTAGAATAAAACCTTGCGTAAGAATCCTGCCTTTTGTTTTTAGGGTTGGCTTCTAGTCTGAACTAATTTATGGATATTGTATTTTAGGCTGCTAAATGTTGTTTTATGCTGTTTTGCCGTGGTTTATGTTTATGGGTAGTTTTGGTAATGCTAATATCAGTAATAACAATTCCTATACTGATTTTTTTGGGGGGGGCTGCGGTGGCTCAGTGGTTAAGACACTGAAGTGCAGACTAGAAGGTTGGTAGTTCAGTAGTTCGAGACCCGAGTTGCCGCATGACGGCGTGAGCTCCTGTCTCTTGTCCCAGCTCCTGCCAGCCTAGCAGTTCGAAAGCAAGAAACTGCAAGTAGATAAATAGGTAACACTTCGGTGGGAAGGTAACAGTGTCCCGTGCACCTCGACGTCTAGTCATGCCGGCCACATGACCACGGAAACGTCTTCGGACAGCACTGGCTCTTTGGCTTGGAAATTGAGATGAGCACCGCACCCTAGAGTCAGATTCGACTGGCTTTCGAGCAAGGGAAACCTTTTCCTTTATACTGTTGTTTTAGTGATGTATTGTGTTGTTTTTCCTTTGTGAGCACCCTTGAGCAGTTTTCTGGAGAGGTGGCATGTAAACGTTCTGAATAATAGTTCAGGACCCAATCTCCAAAAAGGAATAGGCAGGTATTTCTGTGATATCCTTAAATGGGGCATAAAAGCACGTGTCGACCCTTTTTTGCTCTTGTGGCTACAAATTCTGTAACTTATTTTGTGTTGCATGAAGAACTCCCCCGTCCTGAACTGACTGTCAGTCTATGTCACTGGGTGACTTACTAGTGCCTTCTGAAGCAAGGTTACGCCCTTTTAAGTGCATGGGAGTCAAAGGTGTGATTCTGCTGAGGACGGCACTGTCAGTAATTTTATTGCCATCTTCTTAATTTAAAAAACAACAAACAATAACACCATCAGGGCATCTTAAGTGCTGGCTACAAGGCTTCCTTAGCCATTGCTGAGGTAAATATCACTTCACTATTCATTAGTAGATGGTGGGAAGCTGCACGGAGGTACTTAAGGGATTGTCACTCACTGGTAGAGCACATGATTTACGGGCAAGAAGGCCCCGGGTTTAGTCCCAGGCATCGCCAATTAAAGCATTTTGGGTTAGGGATTATAGTGATTCTTAAATGGTAGTATGTCATGATGTATATGTTAAAGCCTCGCCTTTCATTTTTTGCAGCTCTTCCCTTTGTAAAGAGAACTGCTTTCTTTACCTCTAGAGCTGTTTGTTTCTTCTCAAAATTCCCCCATTTCCTTCCTGTTTTATGTTTCAAAAAGGCCTTGTTAGTGACCTGGGAAGGGGGTAATGTTTAGAAGTGTAATAGCTGCTGTGTTCCACTAGGGGTCTCTCATCCACTGCTGATAATCTTGAAGCTCTAACACAGCTTTGAAGAAAATCAGCATTTCATTTAGGTGAGATGCAAAGTATATTAAATGTTATGTTCTATCTGGAATATTAATATCACTATTTTATCATCTTTGGATAAATACCTTGACCTAGCAAGCGTAGTAACAGTGGTGTGTCAGGTTGCTAGTCGGCCTAGAGAGAAAAAAGTCATATCTCTTTAATAGAGGCTTAATATGTGGAAGTGGTCAGCTGAAGCTTTTCCTGGCATGGAGGTAAACATCACATGGTAAATAATATCCCATTAAGCCTCTGTTAAAGGGACAGGACATTTTTCTCCAGGCCAACCTTAGATGTGTGCCTTTCTGTCTTTATGTATAGAGAGTGAAAACAGTGGCTTCCAAGTGATGGTTCTGGTACTGGTGAGGTTAAGAGGATGCTGTTTTAGGTGAATGTTTGAAGCACTTGTACTGATAGCTCATATGAGCTTTCTTTTCCCGTCCCTATTATATCTCAACAAACTTTCTTTAAAAAATGTATTTTTGAAAAGGTAAATAGCATGGGAAACCTGCATAAATTTATTCTGAGCCCAATATTTGAATGTTCCTTACAAATAGGCTATGATCCAGATGTAGTTATGTGTAGGGGTGTGACATTTTTTCCGTGGCATTTTTCGGTTCGGGTCTATTGGACCTCCCAAAATTTTGAGATTCCTGAAAAATCCCGGATCCCAATCAATGTTCCCTCTAAGCTGAGTTAGTGTGAGCTAGCTCACACTAACTCAGCTTAGAGGGAACACTGATCCCAATACTGGTACAGTATTCAGATTGAGGATTTTTCAGAAATCCCAATTTTCCCCGGGTCCAATAGACCCAAGGGGGGAGAACGGGGGGGGGAGCCATCCCAAAGCTGAGCTGGCAGGGTACAGTCTGCTCCTTGTTGGCACAGCTGATTCTGGGGGTGGCTTCTCAGCAGCTAAGCTGATCCTTAGCTGTCTTCTGCAGTCCCTTTAACCTTTAAAGGGACTGCAGTAGAAACCTGACAAACAGCTGAGAGGCGGGAGCAATCTGCTTCCCGCCTCTCTGTTGTTGTTTTTTGGATATCCCCAGTAATTCCCGGGGATTTTTTTGTCGGTTTTTTGAAAAACCCGGATGCCTTTGGGATTCTGAAATATACCTGAAAAATACAGATAGGGTATATTAAGGTATATTGTCAGCTCGGGGTGATAACACCCCTAGTTACATGCAACAGCCAGAGAACCCAGAAAGAGGGTACACTTCTATGCCGAAAGTAGTCCATTCAGTTTAAGGAGTTTCACATGAACACTGTAAAAGGTGAAGGTGAATTTAGTTATATGTGTTGAGATCCACACTTACATAGGGCATTCATTTCCAGTACTGGGGCAAGAGCCCATATGTCCTACTTTATGAATTCGTTCAGACAATGAAAGGGTCCTGAGGACAGACCCTTGGTCTGCAGTGTAAAAATAACAGGCCCAAAGATGTCTCTGTCTGATGGAACTGAGCCAACTGTAAGATATCCCATTAGGTTTGTGAACGAATACAGTATTAATAAATTTTCTCCCTTAACAGGACAATAAAAAATATACATTCTTCAGTTCTGCTTCTGATGGGGACTTTGCTTTGTTTTCAGGTCTTCATTGCTGTGAACTGCCTCAGTACAGATTTCTCTTCTCAGAAGGGTGTCAAGGGGCTTCCCCTGAATCTTCAAATTGACACCTACAGCTACAACAACAGGAGCAACAAACCTGTCCACAGAGCTTACTGCCAGATCAAAGTCTTTTGTGACAAGGTAAGGTTGCGTAACTCTGGAAACTGCATCTTTGGGAAGACTCTCCTTTCCCAGGTCTTTTGAGTTCCCTCAGTTAATTAGTTTAGCCCAGTCAGTGATGAACAACTTGCCCCATTTGGATTTTTCAGATTCATTTAGATGCAGCAATATTTCTAGACCTGTTGAGGAAACGGAGCACTTGCGAAAAGATGCTGTGCAAAAAGGCTCCGTGGTAGTATCATTTATGTGGCATACACATGGACTGAGTGAATACGCACCTTGTTCTGCTTGTACATTGGTTTCGACTGGCTGGATTATCAATAACCTGGGGAAATGAGTTCTCACTGCTGTGAATAGAATCTCAATAATTCTTGAGTGAGAGAGCCTAAATAGTGATGGTGTTTTAGTTCTCAAGAAGATAAGAGAGTGCATCTGTTTCACCAGCCTTCTGGTCTGCCTGATTTTCTTCCTCGTGATTCTCAGACCTTCCAACCATCTGCTTGGAATGGTCATCCTGCCTCACTGTTTCTGCCCCCATCAACAGCAGCAAAAACAGTAACAACAACAACAAAAACTCTTCGTGCTAAATGCAATTAGTAAAACATTAGAGAACACACATCTGAGTTAACTCAGTTTTGTTGACCAAGGCTGCTTGCTTTTGAGAGAGCCAGTCCAGGGCAACTGAATTCTGTTTCAAACATAGTATGAACCAGATCTCTAGATCTGCTTGGAAGATGCACGTTTCCGTCTCTTCCATTTGGGGTTTCTGTCGCCAACATGTTGCTATCTTCCTTTGTGGACAGCGTGATGCTATGGTTAAAGTGTCACTCTAGGATCTGGGAGACCCAAGGTGAAATCTCCACCTTTCCATGGGCCAGTCACTCTTCTTCAGCCTAAACTGCCTCATAGCTTGGTTCGTTGTTAGGAGGATAAAATGGGCGAGGGATAAAGATGTCACAAGCCTCTTTGGGTCCCCATTAGGGAGAAAAGCAGAGGATAAATATCTAAATATTTATTTATGTGGGGGAGGGCCTGTGGCTCAGTGGTAGAGCATCTGCTTGGTATGCAGAAGGTATCAGGTTCAATCCCAGGCATCTCCAGTTAAAAGGATCAAGCGATAGGTGACGTGAAAGACCTCTGTCTGGGAGTCCAGCGAACTGCTGCCAGCCTGAGAAGGCAGTACTGCCGTTGATGGACCAAGGGTCTGATTCAGTATAAGGCAGCTTCACGTGCTCATGTGGTATGCGTTCAAGTAATATAGCCAAGCAATTGAACTGAAAGCTATACATGCTTGTTGACTTCATGTCCCACAGTAGCCAAGAATTTAGAAGGACATGTAAAAAAAAAAATTACATGGGCTGTGTGCATGCCGGCCAACTTTATCCCTGAAGAATAAGAGAGAACGCTTTCTCCTCCCATGTACTTTCCAGATGCACTATTCGTGTGTGTGTATATGTGTATGTGCATGTGCATGTGTACGTAGTCCCATCTGATGTATGTGTGTGTGTTCATATATATGTAGTCCCATCTGATGATTTTGATCCTTTCCACCTTAGTAGAGGTAAGAAAGGCAATAACTTCTTTTTTAGATCCCTTCATTGTGGCTTTGTACTCTCTGTGGCATATATACCCAGTGTCCAAAGTCCTATAACCCTTGCTTTGTCACTGGAAGCTTGTTATTGGTCATCAAAGGAAAACATAGAGATGCACATTTTGTTGACTGGGAAATGATAAAGCATGTTTCTTCAATTGTAGGCCATGGTGCTTGGCAATGGTCCTATCTCTCTGTCTGAGTTGACTCGCACAACAAGTTGGCCTCGTTTCCAGTGCAAAAAGTTCTGGCTGCCTTGGCAGAATAGGTGGCCGCTTTGATGGACTTGGCAGGGACCCGGGTTACTAACCTCAGTAAGCAGGATAGGAAAAAAAAAACAACGCTCTTTTCTCCCTACCTATTTTGACAGGGGGCAGAGAGGAAGATCAGGGATGAAGAACGAAAACAAAGCAAAAGAAAAGGCAAGTGCACTGACCCCAGCTCTCAGCTGAATGCCTGTAAGTAGAAAATATTAAGGACCGTCTAATTTAGAGGACAGTTGCCACTAGATCTTACTTTTGAAGTGCAATTGGTGACATAAACCCACCTTTCTTTCAAAAGGGGCTTGAATACCTGTAACACTGTTCGTATAATTCCAAAGGGGCTCCTATGTAAAACCATGCCTTTATTTAGCCCTGTGCTAAGGTGAAGGTATTCCGCTTGGGGGAATAGGGGGAACACTGTCATCTAATGGCATCAAAGAAAGCAAACGCCACCTGCCATCAAATGACTCTTTCTCCTAAGGTGGTGATGGCTTTTGAGTTAGCAGTGTTTCAGTTTATTTCTGGGAATGATGAGAGTTGGTGTAACTCTTGAATGTTCCCGGGGGGCATTACAATATTACATTTACATCATACTTACTATGACCCTCAGGGAAGCTTTCAGAATAAAATCCCATATGCAAAATATTTCAGTGGAGCTCTGTGCAAGGCTGTGCAGATGGAAGGGGGAGCCCCTGAGACCAAGTACATGGGCTGCTATCATTTGAAGTCCTGATAGAATGAACACTGATGAAGTGGTTCAAATGAGTGCCAGAATTTCTGTACGAGCTTTGACAACCTAGGCTGTGCCCATGCATTGCTGGGTACTGCCCGCTATGGTGGTCATCCACTTCCGGGACTCTCTCATCCATGCAGGGGCATCCAGTTGTGAATTATCACTGTAATGTAGGGAGACTGCAATATCTAACGGTATGTGGATGCAGTCAGTGAACAGTGCCTTTAAAATAGGTTGCACTTCAGATTGCTGGTGTTAAGGAAAATGGTGTGTGTATGTGTCAGCTTTCCTTTGCTTACAGCCACCTTTTTTCTGTTCTGTTTGCCAGTTTCCGATGTCAAAGTACCCATGCTTCCCTCTCACAAGCGAACAGACATCACTGTCTTCAAGTCGTTTATGGATCTTGAAACCCAGCCAGTTCTTTTCATACCTGATGTTCACTATTCCAATCTGCAACGCGGAGCTCATGTACGATACTTTCTTATGTTTGGGGGAGGGAAACGGGAGAAATTCCTTCTCCTTAGCCCAGAGTATCTGAGCTCAATTTAATACAGCGCTTGCTAGGCAGGTGTGTAAGTGTGCAGTTGTTCTGGTGCCGGTTGGATTTCAGAAGACTGTTTTTCCTGAAGACTAAGATAGCTGTTGTGTCTCCTTTTCCCAGCACCATCAGTGTACGCCATCACAGCATCCGTCCCCAGGGCTGGTGCAGGTTAAGGAAGTGGCACGGGAGGGAGGCTTAAGCCCCTTCTCCCTGAACTCTGTGGTCCTGATTCAGATCTGGCCCCAGCAAGTTTGGAAACTGAGTTCCTAGCAGGGAACTTGCAGTTGCTGTCTGACTGAAAGTCCACAGGGAGGATGCATGAAAAATGTAACCTGTAGCTCGGCCACTTGTGGTAGACAGGGTGGGTGAGCAGTTTCCTAAAGAGGCTGGTGTTAAGGGTTGAGTTCACTAACGTGGACAGCAGCCATCTCTCTTTCCTGCATATTTTCAATCTAATTTATTGCCAGAAGGCCCTGGCTGGCACACCAGACCACCATTGAGACAAGCAGCTATAAGGACGCTCTTTGGAATGCTACTTATGTAGTCCTGTGGAGAGGTAGACATGACTACCCGCCTGAATCTAATTTATTGCCAGAAGGCCCTGGCTGGCACACCAGACCACCATTGAGACAAGCAGCTGGCAAACTATAAGGATGCTCTTTGGAAAGCTACTTATGTAGTCCTGTGGAGAGGTAGAGCAGCCCAACTGAGGTCTGTCAAGGTGAACATACTGTCCTTCAGGGGCCCCATAGGTAATGGCTGTAATGAAAGGAAATACGGTGGTATCAATTAATAAAATGCAGTTGTGGGCCACAATACATCCAAGTTCATGGCTAATTTGCGCAAGTTGCTGATTAGTGTGTGCAGAACGTGTGTCTATTTTTGCTCCAAAAATAGCACACAGAACAACTGTTGTCAGGGCTTTGAAGAGTGTGGTGTTCAAGGCCCTAATAATAGTGGTTGTGAGTGGTGCTGAGAACATTTTATACCCCGAGTGGTGCTGAGAACATCGATTTATACCCTTCCCTGAGTAAATAAAATAAATAAATAATAAATAGCATAAAAGTGACAACAATAAATAAATAAATAATAGCATAAAAGTGACAACAGTCCTGGCCCATGTTGGCAACTGTCCAAGTAAGAACGATAAACCTGAGGTAAAGGGTAGAAAGGGGAGACTGGAGTTGAAGGGCAAAGATGTGGTGGGGAGGAAAGTTTCAGCTATAGGAGAGAAAGCAAAAATATTATATGTCAGATGCTAGAACCGGGTTTCATGGTACTTGAAGGTAAAGGTGGACTGGAATGTTCAGCCCAAAGCGGCAGAATGACAGAACCACTGAGGAGAAGTTGAGAGGAAACGACCAAGTGAATGATTTCCAGTTCTGAATCAGCTTTAAATAAATTTCTACCAGAATCTGGGTTCACCGAGTGCCAAATGATGTTGATGTTCTGTAACTGAAACCTCAGATGTGGTGTTTGGTTCTAAAAAGCAGCATCTGGGAGTGGTTCTAAAAAGCAGCATCTGGGAGTGGTTCTAAAAAGCAGCATCTGGGAGTGGTAAGCAGAATATCAGTCAGGGCTGTGTTGTTGGAGCAGGAAGGATTAAGTTTCTTCCCACAACCTCTACTATTTTAAGTGCTCTGCTTGAGCTGTTTCTAAGCTCCAGTTGGGGTTGGGAGATGGAGCTCACTACAGGTAGGTATATTCTCCCCCCACCCCCTGTACTGTACCTATCTCTGTCCCCCCAACCAGGGCTTAGAGCTGCTGGGGGTGGGGGTGGGACATTTCTGACTAGAAATCTTTTGGGAGAGGAGCTGGGGCCATGGTGCTTGGAGTTAGCTCTCAAATACTCTCCCTCCCTCATGCAGGCATTTTTGTTTAAGGTTATCTTAAATTCTGGTTATGAAGTTTCAGTGTTGCATGTAGTTTGGCCCTGATACAAACAGAACACTATGATGTTATATTGCCGGTCAACTTGCTACTTTGCTCCAGAACACTGCTCAAAAATAGGTGTTTCCCTCCCCACTAGGTTTTTCCTGTTGCATCTGATGAACTGGAAGGTGAAGGGTAAGACGTGCTTTTGACTTTCCTTCTGTGGTGCCAGTCACTGGGAAGGGGGGTCCCCTATTTTGTTCTGGTTGCATGGGGACCTGTTAGGCACAAAATGAAGTATGGTCTATCATAGACAGTCATTCCAAATAATTTTACAATGGTGGTTATTTTATGATTTTGTTGGCTTTGTTTTTACTTTGTGAGCAACAATGTGCAGGTCTGTGGAGAAGCAGGTTATACGTTTTCTAACTAAATCAGCATCAAAGGAGAGCAGCAAGCTTTCCTCCATACCTGCTTTTTGTCAAGGGAAGCGGCAGGAAAATCCAGCTTATGTTTAAAGACAGGAGAGCAGCCCTGGCTTCTGCCTCCCTTTTGCTGGCTTACCCTGGAGACATAACTGGGGAAGACTCACTCACTCCCTGACCTGGAATAAAAGCGCAGTGGGAGTATATGCAAAACATTGTTTGTATAGTCACTAATTGCCTATTAAGCTCAGAACAAAGTTGGAGTCCAGTGGCAGCTTTTAGACCAAAAAAGTTTTATTCTAGATATAAGCTTTTATGTGCTTGTGTGTATCTGAAGAAGTGTGCATGCACACAAAAGCTTATACCCAGAATTAAACTTTGTTGGTCTTAAAGGTGCCACTGGACTCAAACCTTGTTCTGCTGTTTCAGTCCAATACGACTACCCCCCTGAATCTAGCCTCTAGCTCAAGAATGGAGTGCCTTCTTTGCATGCAGAAGATTCCAGGTTCAGTCCCTGTTAAAATTAGATGAGGCAGCAGGCATTGGGAAAGACCTTTCTGTGCCTGAGACTCACCATTTCTCTGAGCAGACAATACAGAACAAGATGGACCAGTGCTCTGACTCTGTAGAGAGCCAATTCCATGTGTTCGAGTATTAGAGATCTCTGCAATGAAGCTACACAGACATAATTTGGCATGATAGCCCCTTCCCTCTTTGGTCAGCATGGCAGAAGACAGAATGTTGACAAGGCCAGACCAGACTTCCACAGCTGTAATTGGCAATTATGTAACTTCCTGCTAACCAATCCTAATGGGTTCTAGTGTGGATAGCATTAAAAGTAGTACATATTGTAATTTCCTCAGGGAATAAGATGAGTAACTTTAAGTAACAAATAAACCCAGATCAGGTTGTTTTTCCATTGTCTGTGGAAGCCAAAATGGAAATGCCCAGAGACAGAGGAATATGCTCTGCTAGGGTTGCCAGGTCACCTCACTGCTCCAGCGGGGGGGGGATTCGTGGGGCATTCTGGGGGTGGGCAGGGACATTGCACAGCATCCCCAACATGATGACGTCACCTGGAAGTGATATTATTACATAGGGGACGTCACACGAGGGGCGCTCTGATTTTTGGGCAAACTCTATGGTAACATTGGGCTTAAACCATAGCATTTGCCCCCCAAAACCAGAGCATCCCCCGTGCAACATTCCCAGTGCGATGATATCACTTCTGGGTGACTTCATCATGTTGGGGACGTTGTGCAGTGACATCCCTGTTGTGGGGTGGGGTTTCCCCCGCTGGCCAGCTGGTCCGTGGTGGAGAGAAGCCCCCAAAACTGGGAGATCCCCCTCTGGGACTGCGGGGCTGGTAACCCTACACTCTGCAGTGTAGGACTGCTTTTGCCCTGCAGAAGAATGCTATGGATATAAGGTTTAGAATTCAAGTCCCTGTCTCAAACTTGAAATATTTTATTACTTGGTGCTATGCATTCAAGGACCAGGAGTTGGCAGGAGCTCCTCACAACTTAATGAGGGGTATGCTAAACTAATTGTTGGCTTGTTTATACTGGCTTTGTAGTAAAACAAGCTAGGAATGGCCAAGATCCTGTGTTCTCTGTTTCCTATGAATTAAAATATTTCTACAGCACTGTTGAATTTGTTTGCTTTCTTCTCACAGCTCTGCCATGAAGAGGGGGCCTTACATCAGTGAAGACGATTTTGCTGCCACCCCAATTAAACTGACTAGAATAGAAGAACCCAAAAGAGGTAATCCCTCTCATCTGGAGGGGAAATAAGAGTCCTGTTTTGGATGATACCATGTAGCGGTTCTAGATGGTTTCTAGAGGAAACCTAGGTGACCTAGGACCGCATCCCTGCTCAACTCGAAAGCTAACAGGGTGACGTGGGGCCAGGCCACTGTCTCCCAGGCTAATGTCCTTCACGGGATTGTTGTAAAGATCAAATTGAGGGAAGGGGAAGCCATGTGAGCCGTACTGAGCTCCTTGGAGGAAGGATGGGATAAGAATTTAATGAAAATGTTAAGGTTTTAATGACTAAAATGTACCTCCTTACCTCAGCTTCTGCCTTTATTCTGAGCCACCCATTTCAAGGAAATGTTTTAGACTAGCACTGTTGTCCTAATTTTACCCTTGCTGACTGACCTGTCGTAGTGTAGTATAATCTTAATCAAAGGTTCGATACGGCTATCACATATAGCAAACAGAACTCTGATTACTACTTATTCAGAGGGGTAAATTAGGGCCGGCCGGCCCATCCATTGTGCTGGATTTGCTTGCTTTATGTAAATAGCATCGCTGATCCTGTGTGATGCCACAGCCACGTGCTCGAGCGTGGTTCTTGAAACACGCATGGTGTTTGATATCTTTTCAGCTTATTTGAGTCCGCAAAATTTCAGTAAGTGGGAACAGAACTGCTAATAATACTTCCTGAATTTATTGTAGAAAAATGCAAATCCATGCAGGCAGAATTGCAGAGTCGGTATATCTCCTTCAGGTCACCTGGATCTACTGATTTGCTGCTTCCTGTGACTACAAAAGTCATTATATGGTTGGGAGAGATGAGGGAGACGAGTTGCTTGAATTCAACACGTCTGTACAGATCATGGCTCCCAACCATGTTGAAGCAGTGGCACTTTGAGAATCCTGGGAACAGGTTGTGGGAGCCACCACGGAATAGCTGCCCTGGGTGGGGTACTTTTAACTGCAAAGCTGGGGACAGTTACAGAGTACTGGGTGGGGTTTGTTAGTCCCTCACAGGAACTGTGTATGAGTGTTCTGCTGAGGTGAGTTTCATCAGTCTTCTAAATGTAGAACACTTAAAACGGTGCTGAAATTATGAAATTGCATCTCAACAGAATGCTCACACACAGTTTATAAATGTAGAACATGCAGTGGCATTACAGTAGCTCAGCCGATGCCTGTGGATGCTTCAACACCACCATGCTTTGGTTTTGGATATTACCCTCTAGAATAGCGTGAGTCCTTGGTTCAGGAGGTTTTAAAGTTGTTCTGGTGAGGTACATCCTCTGCCCATTCTCAGAGGTTCTGGCTAGACTTTGTTTGAATACTGTTCCTCCTAGGCAGACCTGCAGAGTATCAAATGCTTGCAATAGCCTGGGAAGTGCAGCCTTAAAATGCTATTTCTGGATCAATCTGGGCTCAGATAAATGTGTTATGCCTCCAGTGTTGGCATTCCTTTTATTGCCTCATGTCAGTTTAATCTGATCCCTCCGTCACCTTTGCTTGTTCCAGTGCTGCTGTATGTCCGAAAGGAATCTGAAGAAGTCTTTGATGCCCTCATGCTCAAAATTCCGTCGCTGAAGGGTCTAATGGAAGCCGTAAGTTGCACGGTTCTAAATCATCATTTTTTTAAAACGTTGAGTAACTTTGTACATCCCACTGATAGAATGCATGAACTGAACAGGCAAAAGCCATTACTATAGCATGTCCTCTGTGTATGCCACTTTTAGACTTTGCCAATGAGGAAGGCAAGTTGATATAGGCCGTGGGAAAGGTAGGGCAATCCCTAGGGGTATGTGGGGCTCGTCACAAGCTGCTGTCCCCCAAGCCTGTGCAAGACTTTTGGACCTCGCAAGACTTCTGTTCCCAAGTCATCGCCACTTGCCTGAGCAGAGAGGCGACACAGTCTTTTGAGGCCAGATGATCAGTGGCTTCCTCAATAAGTGTGAAGCTCCCTCCCAGTGTGGGGCCAGGGGTGGTCACCCTGATTCTATCTGTCCAAGAAATTGCTCTGAATAGTGGCCAATCCACTGTGGGGAGGGTTGCAAGCCTCCCGGTGGGGCCTGAAGATCTCTCACTATTACAACTGATCCCTATGCAATAGAGATCAGTTCTTTGGGAGAAAATGGCTGCTTTGGAGGGTGGACCCTTTGGCATTATACCCCGCTGAGACTCCCCCTTCCCCAAACCTCACCATCTCCAGGCTCCATCCCCCAAATCTTCAGGAATTTCCCAACCCAGAGTTGGCAACCCTAAGAGTGTGGGTCAAGACAAAAGACCAGTGAAACTGTTGGTCACAAAGAGGCTTATGGCTTTGTGTACAGAGATGACACAGTTCAAAGAGCAGAATACAGACACAGATTCTCTTCTGAGATCACTTTCTGCCTTAATTTTGTGTTGGCATTTGAACTGATCCCTGTTTTCTGGCTGGGTGCAGATTCCTGCAATATAATGTTTCCCTCCGCATGAAATCTGTTGTGAAAGAGGTGTGCATTGGTGGTGTGCTAATGTGAATTGCCTCCTTTCCAAACAAGGAAATCAAAAGAGTATTAATTTTGGCGGGCGGTGTCTTTCTTTTTCTCCCCCTCATGCTGCAAAATGGATGAAGATATATTTTGTACATGCGTCTTCATGCCACTAGGTATATGCAAATTTTACTTCAATGTCAAGTCTTTTCTAGGAATGATTTCCGGAAGTGTTGTGGTGAAACATGTAGCTGTGTGCAGTGTCTTAATTGGGTGCCTTCCATTCTCTAATCAGGGACGTTTACAAAGTTTCTTTGTTCTTTCCCAGACCCCCATGCATAGCCTTAATATACAGAGTCTTTGCCACCTTAACTCTGTAAGATGGTAGATGTGGAATACAAGCAGAATGTGCAGATTGCCTGCTAATGTAGAGGGAATAAAGTAGAAGAATCTTCAAAAACAGCCGCTTGAACTTAAGCTGTTGAGTGTTCTGCCTTTCCCTTCTTCTAACTAGAGGAGTATGGAGTTAAAAAGAACGGAAGTGTAATGTACTGTCGCCATTACCACGTGTAGTGCATTCAGCCTGACATGCCCGGACTTGCCCGGGCTGGCCAGGCAATATTCCTCAGTAGCTTCAGTCGAAAGACAAAGGATCCGTAGGATCCTAGCCGGCCCAATCAAAGGGCCAGCTTCCCAGCCGGGAGACCAATGGTCGCCCGGTTACTGTAAATAGCCTATCGGGAGTAGGGGGTGTGTTTAGGTGTGCTTGGTGGCGGGTTTTCTGAACGCATATAAACCGGCCTGCGAGCTGGTTTCTTCGTCTTGTTCCTGATCTAATAAAGTACTCTTGCTGAATCACTCTTGCTGAATCACTCCACGTTCTGAGTACTTTTCAGGAAGTGTAAAGTTTGTATACATAGCAAAGCTTGATTCAGGCGGGTAGCTGTGTTGGTCTGAAGCAATAGAACAAAGTTTGAGTCTAGTGGAACCTTTAAGACCAACAAAGTTTAATTCTGAGTATAACCTTTTGTGTGTATGCGCACAAAAGCTTATACCCAGAAGTAAACATTGTTGTTCTTAAAGGTCCCACTAGACTCAAACTTTGTTCTACCGTAAAGCTTGCCCTTGGAATCCAAATTGTCTTCCTTGATCAGGGGTTCATTCATGACATCTTGCAGTGTCTTGCCTCTGTGATGTGCTCCAAGCTTGTCCCTGTTGTGAACTTTGTGCTTAAATGAGGAAAAGGAGAACTTGAAATACATTGTTAAAGTGGCTGCATCATGTATTCTTCTGCTTGAAATCAAGGGCCATCTCAGTGGTTGTTCTGTACTAGAGTCAAGGAATCCTTTTAGCTGCTCTCAGTGAATGGAAATTAGTATTTGCTATCTTGAGAAGATTAGAAGATTGTAGAAAAAATACTCTGCATAAAACAAATTGTACCCAGAAGGATAACAAACACTGTGTATGGTGCTTTCTACAGCTTTTATAAAATCTGAATGACTTAGTTGCTGCTTTGGGGTTGGGGCACCTTCTTGTATGCTTTCTCCCATTCCAAAAGTAGTCAAACACATTTGTGTATTACTCTTGGGAAGCTGGGTGGGTTGTGAGGCTGCAGGCATGCTTTCCACCAGTCAGCTTTTCATTTGTTCAACCTTTCTGAGTCACCTGGACAGGATTACTTTGTTCCACTTTTGTTCAAAAGCATTAACCCAAATAACACCAGTGTCTGTGACTTCTGTCATTTACCCATCTGGCCATGTATATAGTGGTCATGTTTTCAGTTGGGGTGATTTCCCACAAGCGCTGCTCCGCGCTCACTCCTCCCTTTTGCCCCATGGTACGTGTCAATTTCATACAAGCTGCTGCGCAGCCGCATTTTACCCCGCAGCCACGTGCGATTTTCCCCGCGTCTACTCAATCCTCAAAATCCTCAAAAAACAGGATTGAGTAGACGCGGGGAAAATCGCACGAAGCTGCGGGGCAAAATGCGGTCATGCAGCAGCTTGTGTGAAATTGACACGTACCATTGGGCCAGCATGTTTTTATCTTGTTCTTCCTCCAAGGAGCTTACGGTAGTGTCCCAGGTTCTTCCATCACCATTTTATTCTCACAACTACTCTGTAAAGTGCATTAGGCTGAAAGAAACCGATCCAGAGTTACCCATAATGGGGATCTGAACCAGTGTTCCCTCTAAGCTGAGTTAGTATGAGCTAGCTTACAGCTTTTTAGCCTCCGACTCACATATTTTTGTCTTAGCTCAGGAAGGGATGGCTCCAGAGCAAACTAATTTATGCAGTAGCCAAATCGCTCACTCACAACTTTAATGCCAGTAGCTCACAAAGTAGAATTTTTGCTCAGAAGACTCCACTGCTTAGAGAGAGCACCGATCTGAACCCGGGTTTCCTAATATCCCAGTCCGATTTGCTAACCCTTACCCTACGCTTGCGCCAACTGCCACTGGAGAGGTGGGTGGAGAGCTCACTGACCAAGGTGATAGCCTCTTCGTGGGACTTTGCCACCATGGCTTTTGCATGAGGGACCACATGTTCGAAAGCGCTACCGAATTAATATTATGCCTGCCATAAAATTTACCATCTAGGAAAGAAGGCTCGAATACGACAAAAACAGAAGGTGTTTATACTTCCAGTAAATAACATACTGGGTGTACGATATATATATATATATATATTTGGCTCATTAGGGAACAGTAGCACTCTGTTCCTGGGGGGTGGGAACTGAGAACATTGAAAATCTGGGCCTCATTTTAATGCCCATGTGACTGGTTGCCGGTTTCAGTGAGAAAAGCGACACCTACCCTTCGATCCATATGATGGTGGTGGTTTTCATTTTGGAGCGGGTTACTGATTCACCCAGACTCACAATTGTAAGGGATATAGCAAGCCTCTGAGCAAATATGTGTCAGAGAAAACAAGGAAAAATAACTCTTTTTAAAGTGAGCTTGCAATGCTTCCATTTTTGCCATTCTTTTTCATTTTTGTGTTTAGATCTCCGACAAATATGATGTTCCTTTGGATAAAATTGGGAAAGTCTTCAAGAAATGTAAAAAAGGGTAAGTACATCTAAAATATCACCCCTCTGCAGGCAAAACTTGACACCTTACAAATGGTTTGACCTTTTTCTAAACAGAAATCTTCTTTTCCCCCCAACACCAAATCTGTTTTAGGCAATGGAAATAGAGCCGGTCCCAGTAATGTAGCTGCCTCACAGGACTGGGATGCCAAAAAAAAAGGCTTACTTCAATTGAGCCTTGCTGTAGGATTCCCAAGTCGGTGAAGAGAAAGAGAACTCTAGAGTGTATTCACAGTTTGGCCATGGAAAGTGAAATCCCCTACTTAATTATCTAGGCAGGAACAACCTGTTCCCCTCCTCTCCCCTTTCATTTCACTGGACAGAAAGGACCATCTCAGAATACATGAATCTGGAGCCGCGTAAGAAAATGATGAACACAGGAAGCAGCCCTGTACTGAGTCAGTTGGTATATCTAGTGCATTATTGCCTGGTTTGTGACCAGTAGCGGCTCTTCAAGGTCTCATGCTAAGAAGGGTCCTGCCCAGCACTGGCCACCTGAGATCCTTTAGCTGCAGAAGCCAGAGACTGAACTTGGGACCTGCGTGCAAAGTGAGAGCTCTCTTGCTGAACAAGCCCCCTCACCATTTTGAAATATCCAGAATACAGAACCTGAGGCTTTGCTTTCATAAAATGAATTCTGCAAAAGGCTAGATTTCTGAGTACAGCTTTGGGGAGGGACAAGGCCCAGTGGTTGAGTGTCTGTTTTGCATGCAGAAGGTCCTGGGTTCAGTCCCCAGCATTGTCATTGGAAAGGATCAGATGAATGGGTGTGAAAGGTGGCCTCTCCACAAGACTCTGGAGAGCTGCAAGAGACCTGGTTGAGACACTAAAGTTCTGATTTAGTACGAGGTGGTTTCATGTGTTCACATTGCTGTTGAGAGCCTGAACTTCATGTATAAAAAGGTAAAGGTAAAGGTTCCCTTGCTCGAAAACCAGTCGAATCTGACTCTAGGGTTGCGGTGCTCATCTCCGTTTCAAAGCCGAAGAGCCAGCGCTGTCCGAAGACATTTCCGTGGTCATGTGGCCGGCATGACTAAACACCAAGGCACACCTGTAATTAAATAAATGTATACCTGTAAGGTTAGCTCGTGAACTTCATGTATACCTGTAATTAAATACCCCATTAAACAAGGATATGTAAATAAGAATGAGTGCAGCAAATTTTAGTCTTTTGAGCTATCAATGTACCAGTGCGGTCAGGTTCACAATGTTTCCTATCCTACAGTTAAGAACATAAGAAGAACCCTGCTGGATCAGACCAATAGTCCCATCTAGTCCAACATCTTGTCTCACACAATAGCCAACCAGTTCCTCTGGAGGGCCGACGACAGGGCATAGAGGCTGAGACCTTCCCCTGATGTTGCCTCCTGGCTCTAGGATTCAGAGGTTTAGTGCCTCTCAGTGTGGAGGTTCCCCTCAGTAACCATGGTTAATAGCTAGTGATAGACTTATTCTTTTAAATCTGTTTATTCCTGTGGCCACCCTCTTGCAGTGATTTCCACATTTTAATCACTCTCTGTGTAAATAAGTATTTCCTTTTGTCCATCCTGAATCTACTGCCCATCAGCTTTATTGGATGCCATCTAGTTCTAGTATTTTGAGAGAGGGAGAAAAATTAATCTTTGTCAACTGTCTCCACCCCATGTGTCGTTTTATAAACCTCTGTCATGTGCCCCTTTGCCGTCTCTTTTCTAAACTGAAAAATCTCAGATTCTTCAGCCTTTCTTCATAGGGAAGGTGCTCCCACCGCCTCATCTGAGTTACCCTCCTCTGTACCTTTTCCAGCTTTTTTGCTGTACAGTGACCAGTTCTGTACGCAGCATTCCAAATGAGGCTGCACCAGAAATCTATACAGGGGCTTTATAATATTGGCTGCTTTGTTTTCAATCACTTTCCTAATAATCCCTAACATGGAGCTTGCCTTTATCACTGCTGCATGTGGCGTCAATACCAATTTAAAAAAATCAATAAATAATTAGAGAAAATTTCATTTATAGGCAAATAAGCAAACCATTTATACAATTTTCAAATCCTAGACAAAGTTATTCATACAATACACACTTCATAATCAGGGCATAAATGATTTAACCTAAGTCCTGTATATGGCTCACAGAGTCCAAAACACTCCAAGGTGCTCAGTTCCTCCTAATGAATGATACCTTCTGGAAGCTCGTTTTCCTCCTTTATATTGTGAAGTGTATCTACTCCAACAGTTCCAAAAGAGGAACATTGAAACGGTTCCAAAAGAAGAACTATGGGATATGCAGCTTCCTCAGTATGCTCTACGTTTCACTAAAATGGCTTTCTCAAGTTGGAACCAATGACTTGAAGGATATCACTGAAAATCAGTCTCAGCGTATTCAGTTCACAATATCAGTTTCAAAATGGGCTATGCCTTCACATACACAGAGTTAAAATCCTCAAACTTCTTTGTGTGGCTCTGATAACCAGTCTTGATACAGTGTGCAGATGACCTCAGCATCTAGATTGAGGTAAAGGAGGATAAGGGCCTACAGTAATGACATCAGGGAGGTGCCCAGGTGTGCTGTGGCTCTTGTTGGTCTATTTCTTGGAACCCACCTCCTCCAAAGCAAATAGCCAATCTTGACTTATTTCCCAATTCACTGGAGTAGGAGGGGTTTCAGAAGAGCCCTGCAAGCATCACCACGATGTCTGCAGGGAACATCCATTTGGAAACAGCTGCCTCTGTCATAGGACGATGCTTTGATTGGGACTTCCTGATGCCTTGTGGAACCTCCTGGAATTTTGTGACTGGACCCAGCCTCCATGGTAGCCATTTTCATGGTAGTCTTTTTTGTTATGGGATATACTACCTAGTCTCAAAATCCCAGGAGTGTCTAAAGGTTCAACAAGACTGGGGATCCCTAGTTTACACACTGAGAGCTGGGGAAGCAAGGACCTCAAGAGATTTGAAAACGTTTATTTAGAGTTTTTAGTGCTCCCCTCCTCCTGTTCAGACTAGATGTGTACTGTCCATCCAGTCCCCTACGTGTGGTAGTGCTTGCCAGTTGCTAAGTGGCAGTTGAGCTCCCCTACTAGATTTGCTCTGCATAGTGGAAATGCCATTCGGTGTATCTTTCCTCAGTCTGCTTGTAAGGGAACAGAGAGAAACTCCAGGCTTCATGTAATTTCACCCCTGAGACCAAACTCCTGTTTTGTTGATCATATTGTTAGGTTGGACTTGTAGATGATGATGCCCACGGGATCTGATTTGCACTGTGAAGCTGTCATTGGTGTATTTGTTAAGCTTGATTATATGTTCTAATATTCTATTTATCTGTACTGTCTTAGCATCCTAGTGAATATGGATGACAACATTATAAAACACTATTCCAATGAAGACACCTTCCAGTTACAGATTGAAGAGACTGCTGGATCTTACAAGCTCACTCTCACTGAGATCTAAGCTCATTTGGGGCCTTCTGTGGATTTTATATGAAGATTGTGAACACAAACCTCTCATTATTGTTGTCCTCAGGATTAAATTTGCCTCTAGGGGAAAAGCCATTCTTCTTCCAGAGGAAGAATACTTTCTGTTGTTCAAGCAAGGCTGATTCATTTCAGTCGCAGCTCCTAGTGAATGAAAGTTATTGAACAGATTTTTCCAAAATGGCAGATCTTACCAAAGCACTATAAAATGACCGTCTGGTGAGGTCACCTGCATATTCTCTTAGCTTTAAAATGTATGGGTTTGTTTCATCTGTTCCAGGGCTGTACAGGTACCAAATTCCCAATGATATTTGCGGGGAGGTTCCAGGCAGGTGTGGGACAGAATTTTACGTTTACTACAGAACAGGGCATATTAGCTATCAATCATTCTCCAGCCCCTTAGTAGGAATGCCAGACTGTTTAGCTTTATGAAGAACTTCCTTTTTAAGCTACTGTACTGAATCCCGTTGGACAAGCTCTATTTGTATATAACTGCAGTATTTTTGAAGGGTTGTAAATGTGTAAATAGAAGTCATATATATAATATATATAAAATATCATATATCTGGATGTGTGTGTGTGTATATAGAGTGATATCTGCAATGAAGCCCATCTGAAAGGACTGCCTGTATGTTGGAATGTAATGTTGAGAAAAGCTGCCTCAGTTCTATATTATCTGGTGTGTTTTTGATCTTTTATAAGGCATAATTGCCAGAAAAAGTAACTATGCAATAATTACTGTCTTATTATCTTGAGCTGAGGTGGATCTGGGTCCTTGTACAGTACTGATGCTCGAGACTAGTAATGTATCAATACTGCGTAGCAACAAGAAGCATGGTATCTTTTACAGTGAAAATGTTGAGAAGTAATACATCCTTCTGGGTATTAAGATCTGAGCTCTTCCATCTCTGGACAGAAGCTGGGCTCACTTTTTTCTCTGAACTTCACAATGGAGTGGGCTTGTCTCCAGTATGCTGTTAAGCCAGTGAGCCACAATGTCATCATTTCAACAGAAACACCATTATTCTCCCTTGACTTCTCATGTTACATTAGTTGTAATGTATGGTTCTGCTTGGGTTCCCTGCCCTGTTATGAATCTATCTTACTTCTGGTTGCAGCAGAGCCAGTTTGGTGTAGTGGTTAAGTGTGCGGACTCTAATCTGGGAGAACCGGGGTTGATTCCCCACTCCTCCACTTGCACCGGCTGATGTGACCTTGGGTCAGTCAACCTCTGGCACAGCTGTCCTTAAAAAAGAGCAGTTTGTGTCAGAGTTCTCTCAGCCCCACCCACCTCACAGGGTGTCTGTTGTGGGGAGGGGAAGGGAGAGGAGTTTGTAAGCTGCTCTGAGACTCCAAGTGAAGGGCGGGGTATAAATCCAATCTCCTCTTCTTCTTCTTCTTCAATAGGGAAAAGAAATCATTTCAGTCCTGCTTTGATGCTGAACTATATAAAACCGTGTCTTGGAACTGCAATATGATTCAACATGAGGTCTTGGTCACTAGTGAAATTGTGTGCTTACTCAGATATGAATGGTAACCCAGAATGGCAGACTGGATATGGTAGACTTCAGCCATTCCAGATGCTTATTGGGAATAACACGAGAGCCAGCATAATGCAGTGGTTAAAGTGTTGGACTAGTATCTGGGAGACCCAGATTCAAATCCCCACTTGCGCCATGGAAGCTTGCTGGGTGACCTTGGGCCAGTCACATACTTTCAGCCTAACCTACCTCACAGGGTTGTTGTGAGGATAAAATGGAGGAGAGGAGAATGATTTGAGCAACTTTGGGTCCCCATTGGGGTGAAAGGCAGGATATAAATAAAATAAACATGAATGGCATGAAAACTGGAAATCATGGGTCAGAATTTAACTACAGGGGTTTCCTTTCACCCCAACAGCTTACCACGTGACTGTGTTCTGGATGTGGGTTTAACCTCCCTGGCATTTCTAGCTGAAGAATCTTGGGTATCAGAGGCTAGGAAAAGGCCCTCTCTGCCTGAGATGCTGGAGAATCAGAGCAGGTTATACTAATGGGCCAATAGTTTGACTCGGCGTACTGCAGCTTCAACATTCCTATATGTTTATAGCTACCCATGGTGTTCATAGTTTTGGTGGCAGACGTATCCCTCTGATAAGTGGCTTTTGGCCCACCTAGCCGGGCATATGTATGCAACATTCAAATCACTGCTTTCCAGCCTCTGCATTTCAGAGAAGTGATGAAAGCTTCAAAGGTTTGTTATTCCAGATGGAGATTTTAATGTATTAACTGCTAAAAAGGCTGTCATGTACACATTATCAAAAGTATGTTTTCCCTGGCAATATCTTTGGTATGGGGGCTGCTTTTCTCTGGTTTCAGGCCAATCAACATGTTTATCATGTAGATGCTGCTGAAAACAGGCTCTGCAAAGAGTGTCTTCTGCAGGCCCATAACTATGGTGGGGCGTTTCAGGCCCCCGCTCCCTTAATTATAAGCCATGCCCCACAAAAGGCCATTCCAGAAACTTCTTTTAGAGTCCGATCAGACGGCTCTTTAGATCCGCGACATGCACGATTCCCTGGTGGATTCAAAAGGCATGACCAGACACAAACATCTGGGAAATGTCCCCTGTTCCGTGGACATCCCATTTTGCCATGCCTCCTATCCGGACTTAAAAGATAGCACTTTAAATCTAGAGTTTTCCGGGCCAACGGGACAACAGTGGACTTTCACCCGTCTGATCGTTCCACCAGTGCGCAATCCTCCCGTCGGGGTGGGCTGACGTCAGACCATCCCGAGCGGGTGCCATTTAAAAAAATCTCTACACATGCGCGGCTCAACAGCGACATGCTGTGATGCCTATGCGCATGTGCAAAACTTTTTAAAAAAACCCTCCTTCAGTGGACGCCGTCTAGACAATCCACAGTGGAAGCAGCGCGCGGTAAGGCGATTCCCCGGGGGGATGTCTGATCATGCAAGGACGGATTAAAAAGATTGGGATCAAATTTGAGCCAGCATAATGGCGGGATTAGCTGCCTGTATGAACGCACTGACTCTTACACACACACACATTTTGCAGTCATGCCGGCAGGTGAGCGAGCGGCCCGCTCTCCACACCGTGGCCACTGCCTTCTAGCCCACAAGCAGGGACTGCAGATGAAGAAGGGACGGCCAGGCAAGGGACCCACGGCCGCTGATGCCTCCTCTTGCTGCTGGGGAGGAGGAGAACAGGGAGAATTGGAGGCAGCTCTTACCCAGCTTAGTGCAGCTGGAAAGAGTAAGTGACACCAACTGTTTTGCATCAGGGTTTCTTTTTTTGGGGGGGGGGAGGGTGAGCTGTTGCTTTCCCTGCCGCCGCCGCCGCCGCCACTGCCTCTTCATCAGTGAAGTGCTCTCCTCTCTCTGTCTCTAGGATCTGGGATGGGGCAGGGTGACGTCAACTGAAGCTGTGGTGCTTCTCGCTCTCTTTTCTCTCCCTCTCGGGCAGTTGTGCACGGGGTGAATCGGGAAGAGCTTGTCTCACTGCTCAGCTTAGGCCTCTGTGTGTTATTTTGAGGAGCCTGAAGGAAAGTGGTGCTGGATGCATGTTCCATCTGGCGCTAAGTCAAGGGTCAACAGCGCCTTCTGGACGTGATTCAACGCACGGCCAGAGTAAAGTAGAATTAAATCATTTTTTTATTAAGCTCCACATGCATTCAGAAGATTTCTTTACTCACAATCAAAGCTGAATAACTGGTGAAATTCACATCTTTGTAATCTAATTCAGTTCACTGGCTCATGGTGAAAAAGATTGCGTGCTCCCACCTCCTTGCCGTTTAAAGAGTAGACAAAGAAACGAGAAGAGAGCTGTAAACTCAAATCCTCGCACCTCTGGGTGCAGGAAATGACTGTTAATCAGCCAGTCACAGGGATGCTTTGGGATGCCTAACTAAAGACTTCAATTCCCAGGGGCAACTGCTCTTAAAGATATATGGCAGTTCTACTTAACTACAGTTAATCGCTGACTGGGGGCAGCACAGTGCACCTTCTCATGGTGTAGGCTGAGCCGCATCTGGTGTGGCTGGCAATTGGGGTTTAAAGGTGAGAAGAAGTCAACGTTTATTAGGTTAACTGCTCCCAATGCTTCCTCTAAGGTGTGGAGTCTTATGAGCAAAAAATTCTACTTTGTGAGCTACTGGCATTAAAGTTGTGAGCGAGCGATTTGTTTTTTTAGCCTCCAGCTCACACATTTTTGTCTTAGCTCAGGAAGGATGGCTCCAGAGCAAACTAATTTATGCAGCAGCCAAATCGCTCACTCACAGCTTTAATGCCAGTAGCTCGCAAAGTAGAATTTTTGCTCACAAGACTCCACAGTTTAGAGGGAGCATTGCTGATCACCTGATCTTTTCTTTGATTCTGGTTGTTTAGCAACATAACTCTATAGAATGAAATGTATGAAATAGGCTGTATAGGTGGGATGAACTAAAAAGAGATTTCCTAAACAGAAATACTGATGGTCTTTTAAAAGGTGGGAAGCAAATCTTGTTGCCAAAAACCAACGGCTTTGACTCTGCTGCATTTAGGGCCGCCAAGAATAGCAGATTTTGTTGGAAAGAGTTTCTTTGGTAAAGGAAATTTTATACATGTACATAAAGTGTTCACTTATTTCTTCAGGAAAAATGGAAGTTTTACTCTGGACAGTGAAAATTGGTAAGGGGGGAAATGAGATGCTATGCAAAGGATGATATAATGTCTGAGCAAAACTGCTGATTATTCTTCTAGGGTTTTTAACCATAGCTGTATTTTTATGGAACTTATTTTGGTCACCTTCTTTTTTTGTGTCCGTGTAATAGCAAGAGCTATTAAATTTTATATATCCATTTGTAACCATTAAGGTAACCTTACCCAGTGTTTTTATACATTCCGAGGGGATGTTTGCATTTGAGAGGAGGGAAGGAGAAGCCACGGCCATGCCCACAGGTATCTCATATCATGTCCTCTCTCCCATGGGCCTCCATTCCAGTTCCTGCCACAAGTAATGCTTTTATGGTCAAGTGGTGTGGCAAGAAAGAGGTGGTGAAGCCCAAGGTATGTTCCCTGAGCATGCATGCACATTCTCAGAAACATCTTAATAGAACTTGACAAGCTAATAGTTTAGATCTACTGGAAGGTTTGTGTAGACAGAAGGGGTTTCCATCCACAGAGCATGCTGATTCTGGGGGACAGAGGACCCCAGTAACAGAATGCGCGGGGGGGGGGGAATCTGCCACCAGGGCTGGGTTGGCAAAAATTGCCCCCCTTGTATATATGGAAATTCTTTGGTTCCAAGCAAGAGAATTTCCATTATTAGAATTGGGAGAAGTCAGGGACTAGCAGACCATTTACAAAGTGAAAATAAAATTTCTTTTGGTGGGTTGGTGGAAGTCTTCTGAAATTTTCCCTGTGTCACAGTCTTGCAGGATAAGTTAATGTTTCATAACATGGTCCAAATCCCCCCCCCCCCGATTTGCTTCTTGCAAGTAGGTCTTTTCTTTCTCACATGCTGGTGTTAATAAAAGAATAACTCTTCAGTTAATTTCATTATTGTCCACCCATTTCCAGCCTGCATTC